TCTGAAGAAGGGTCCAGACCCGAAACGTCAGCTTTCCTGCTCCTCTGATACTGCTTGGCCTGCTGTGTTCATCCAGCTCTACACCTTGATATCTCAGATTCTCCAGCATCGGCAGTTCCCACTATCATAGAAATACAGAAAATAGGAGCAGGAGGAGGCTATTCAATCTTCCAAGCCTGCTCTGCCATTCATCATAATCATGGCTAATCATTCAACTCAGTAGCCTGTGTCTGCATTTCCACCATATCCTTTAATCCCTTTAGCCTTGAGTGCTATATCCAACTCTTTCTTGAAATCATAATGTTTTGGACTCAACTGTTTTCTGTGATAGTGAATTCCACAGGCTCACCACTGCCAGGATAGAGGTATTTCTCCTCCAGTCAGTACTAAATGGCCTACCCCATATCATTAGATCGTGACCCCTGGTTCTGCATTGCCCCACCATTGGGGACATCCTTCCTGCATCTACCCGACCTAGTTCTGTTAGAATTTTATAGGTTTCTGAGATGCTTCTCATTTTTCTGAACTCCAGCAAATATAATCCTAACTGATTCAACCTGTCTTTATATGTCAGTCCTGCATCCCAGGAATCAGTCTGGTGAACCTTTGCTGCTCTCCCTCTGTAGCAAGAACATCCTCCTTTTGATAAGGAGATGAAAACTGCATGCAAGATTCCAGCTGTGGCCTCAGTTAGACCCAGTATAATTTCAACAAGACATCCAAGCTCCTGTATTCAAATCCTCTTCCTACGAATGCCAACATATCATTTACCCTCTTAACTGCCTGCAACATCAGCGTGCTTCAGCAACTGGTGTACAGGGACATTCCCTTCCATCAATTTATAGCCATTCAGATAATAATCCGCCTTCCTGTTTGCGCTACCAAAGTGGATGACCTCGCGCTTATCCACAGTATACTGCATCTGCCCTGTATTTGCCCACCCACTTAGACTGTCCAAATCATACTGAAGCATCTCTGCATCTTCCTCACAGCCCTCAACCAGCTTTATCATCCACAAATTTGGAGATATTACATTTAGTTCCTTCACCTAAATAATTTAATATATATTGTGAGTAGCTGGGGTCCTAGCACTAATCTCTGAGGTATCAGACAAATCACTGCCTGCCATTCCAAGGTAGACAAACAGGAGGCTGTTTCTTGTCTGCCAATCAGTCTTCTGTCTACCTCAATACATTACCCCAATCCCATGTACTTTCATTTTACACGTTAATCTTTTATGTGGCTCTTTGTCAAAAGCCTTCTGAAAGTCCAAGTAAATCACATCCATGCAAAAGGTCAGTTTGCAGGTGCAACAAGCAAAGAAAGCTAATAGAACCTTATCATATTTTGTGAGAGTAATTAATCACAAAAGTAGTAAAGTTATGCTTCATTTGCGTATTGGTGAGATCACATTTGGTGTACTATGTACAATATTGGTCTCCTTATTTAAGCAAGGACATTAGCGTGTTGGAAGTAGTTCAGAGGAAGATTACCAGGTTAATACCTGGAGCAGGTAGTTGCTTTATGAGGAGAGGGTAGTTTCCTCTACTAATCCATACCTCCACTCGGACTAATCCACGTTTTCATCTCCCAAACTAAGATCATATCTAACTATTGCACAAAGGGCATCCTTGATTAATAATGCTACCTCTCCACCTTTTGCTGAGGTTCCCATTCTTCTTGAATGCCAGATACCCTTCAATTTTCAAGACCCAGACCTTTTCACCCTCTCGTCAATTTGCTGTAATGGTTATCAGATAATATTTATTAACTTCAATACAGCTTATTTTTAACTTTGATTGCTATGCACATTTAGATGCAGAACCTTTTAATTTTGAGCTTTTGTTATCTTCATAACCTCTAGTCCTGAATATTGGTCTATTTTTAGGTTTATTCTTTCTGTCTGTTGCTGGCTTTCTCTGACCTTCATTTCCCATGATTCCATTTTGCTGTCCTGCCTTGACTGCAGCCTTTGATTTGTTGCATCGACCCAAGCTCGATTCCTGTTGGGGGAAAAAACCAAAAGAACTGCCGATGCTGTAAATCAGAAACAAAAACAGACGTTGCTGGAAAAGCTCAGCAGGTCTGGCAGCGTCTATGAAGGAAAAAACAGAGTTAATGTTTTGGGTCTGCAGACCATTCCTCAGAACGTTATGAGGAAGGGTCACCAGACCTGAAACGGTAACTCTATGACTTTTCTTCACAAATGCTGGCAGACCTGCTGAGCTTTTCCAGCAACGTCTGTTTTGATTCCTATTGATTTTGTTTTAGTTTGATTTTTGCTATTATTGAACAATCCAAGTTAATCACAGCTTAAGGGTTGAGTGTATAGTTTAAAAAGACAAACACAGTGTATTAAATATTAAAGCAAGTTTCTTTTAAATAACTAAGCAGACTTTAAAGAATGCAATCATCATAAAAGACTAATTCAGTTGAGTATAAAAATCTAGTTCAACAAGCAAAATATTAGTTTAAAAAATATTTATTTTGGACAGCAAACAAACTGCACCAAAATAAGGAAATAATTATTTATAATATCTTGTTTATTGTTTTAACTTTCTGTTCATTATTTTGCAGTTATATTATGTTGTTTGTGAATATCACATGGGTGATTTGCTTATTAATGGGTAAGAAAGTAAATGTTACAAAGCAACTAGTTTCATTAATTCACGCAAATCAAAAGTAAAAGTTATTGCTTTCAAAGTGACTAATCCCTGACGGCTAATGTTTTGTGTGAGACGGTGGTTGTCAAGGCCAGGAAGATAAATACAGTGTTTAGCCCAACAAGTGCCACTGGCATCCAGTCAAACATTGAAGTCATATATGGACTCGGCGTACTCGTATGATGTAAAGACGGTGAAAGAATTTGGTTAAAAAGTGACGCAGTGATAAAAATTTGGATCATCAAGCTTTGAGGTGAGGTACAGATGAATCTAGACGCTCTAGACCCCATATGCATAAGCCCTGGTGGCCATTTTAGCGTTCTGTTCGTATAAGCAGCCAGTCCAAGAAATGAAACCATTTAAAAGGATAGTGCGTTCATTAGTGAGTAGAGGAATATGAAGAGGATTCACCAATTTGTTAATCAGGTCCTGAAAAAGGATCTGAACTTCGAGGAAAATTAGACTATTGGGTGTTCCTATGTTTTTATATTTGTGAGAGAGATTTCGTTTGTACTGCATGTGAACACATAGTAAGTTGGTATAAGAGCTGAGAAAAGGTGGCTGGATTTTTTCTGGGTAAAACTGTTCACTAATGTCTATGAAGTAACGATAAGTATATGTATAACATAAAAGCATCTTCATAATTTTATGGGATAAGGCATGATTAATTTCACAAGAATTCAACAAAAATTCTCTTCCCTATAAAAGTACAACACTAGAAGTTTGAGTAAAATAATGCGAAAGGGTTCAGTTTTGAGATAGGCTGCTGAAATTATGGAGATTAGGCGTGACCTGTTTTTCCAAATGGGAGATGAACACTAATATTAAACACTAAGAATTGTCTTACCCAAACAAAGCAAACTAAATTACCAAAATTAACAGAAAAAAGCAGTTGACTTCCAAATTATGCAAGACCTGTGTGGAGAGTCAAACCTGTGACGTTAGCCTTTAATGTCTGTGTGACTGAGAACTACTTTGGTAAAGTATCAAAAAATGGTACTTGAGTAAGACAGTGGATATGTGGGGCTTGAGAAGCCTAACCATGATCGGTTTCGTCTGGGATATCTCCCCTTTATTCTTAAGGCAAGAACATCATTTGGATATCAAATGACAAAAAGGAAAAGGTTTTGTAACCGATCATTGTTTGTAACTTGAAGCCTCTGGTATGGTAGAACCGACACGGAACTGTAAACCAAAGCAGGTTATACTGGCTTTGTGCAAGGCACTGGTGGGGTCAGTCTGTAATAATGTGTTTAGTAATGTTGTTTGTACTTCTGAAAAAGGTCAATAGATTCATTAGAAAGGGATCGAAGATTTAACAGTGAGGGAAATCTAAAATAGGAACAAAAAAAATGCTGGAAATGCTCAGCAGGTCACTCGGCATCTGTGAAGAGAAACAGAGTTTATGTTTCAAGATGAGTTTTCATCAGCATTTAGAATAGAAAATGTAAGAGGTTTTAAGCCATTAGAAGGGGTGGTAGTCTGGAAGAACAGAAAGGAATATCCGTAGCAAGGTGAAGGGTAGGAGAGATTAACTAACAAAGTATTTCATAATGCGAGAACCCAAGAGAGTATCGTGAAGAAGTGGAGGGCCAGATGAGGTGTGAATAGCAATAAAGCATCCATCTAATTGCAATATTAAGAGATAGGGAAAGAATCAAGGCGGAGAGATTTGAAAACCAGGATAGGAATTCAAAAAATGATGCATTGCCAAACTGGGAACTAAGTTATGTCAGTAAAGTCAGCGTAGGTGGAAAGATTTGCTGTGTGTTCAGGTACGTGCATTTATGTTTTAGATGGGTTCAAGTTTACAGAGAATTCAACATGGGAGGCCAGCCTTGGCAACGTCCAGTTTATGGTGAACAAAGGTGTGACTGAGAGTTTCAGCAATAGATGAGCTAAAGTAGAATCAAGACAGGCAATGTTCTACAGTTTGAATGAAATGGTCTTGGAGAGGATATGGAACAGGTAATTGTCACTCGCCTCTGATTTGTCCAAAACTTTCACTGCCTCCTGATGTTTCAATAAAGAAAAAGAAAGGCTCGCATTTATATAATATTTTCCACAGCCACAGGACAACTTACAGCAACTTCCAGTTGGTAAAGTACTTCTGAAGTGACTTCACTATTGTAATGTATGAAACACAAAATGTATGGTAATTAATGCAAACCTACAGGGATTGCTGTAAATCACATTGCAATGATAAATCTAAAAGTTGCAGCATGTCACACTTGTTGCTCTATATTAATTGTGTGAACACCTATAACATATCCAGAGGCATGCAATTGGCATGAAGATGTATTCGTTCCTGATACCTTGCCCTGGTTCTGGGGTAAGAGAAAGTAAAGTGCCTCCAAGTACAAAGGGGGACCACTGACTTGATTTGCTATCAACCAGGACTGGCATCATATATTTTCAGGAACAATATTTTTGCTCTGTTTTCATAGCTCCGACAGAACCAGCTCGAACTCCATGAAGTACGAATGTCTCACCGGCAGCTTCAAGTGAAAGTTGATGAAATGAACGAGGAGATGAGTCTACATAGTGTGAGCCCAACAAGTACATCATTACTGTCAGAAATTGAGCAGAGCATGGAAGCAGAGGAGCTGGAACAGGAGAGAGAACAGGTACACAAATGCACAGCTAAACAATATTGATTCTATATTAATTGGATTTAACTGAATGACAAAAAGCATTAACTGAGGATTCGCTTGTGCTGTTGTAAATTGCAATAGACTGAAACAGTGGTTGTTGGTTTAGATTTGTGTATCTCTGAAGATAAATGAATATAAAATTGTGTACAGATTGGTTCCAATTGCATCCTTCACCACCTGGCTTTCTGGATTATAACATAGTAATAGAGAGTGGCTGTCTAAAGATGAAGGTTGGAAACTAACAAAAGGAAATTCAGACAGAAAATGAAAATCCACTGACTATTGTGGGAAATGAGAGAAAGCAAGTGTAAATTCAGAGTATCATAGCCTCTGATGTTCTAGAGACTGAACCATATGACCATTGGAATGTGGACGTGGTTTACATCTCTACCAGAAAGAAACAACGCATGGTCTTGGTGTTACCACTTCCTACAGGAAGTAAGATCAGAAATAAATGATCTTGTGAGACAGAACCCTGTCCGTTAGATACTGATTAAGATTTGGACTTTCTATTAGAGTTCTTGGACGAAATCATCAAAAACAAGATGTTGTGACAAACATTTATAAAGTGCGGTCAGAATTTAATAGATTTTGGAGAGTAGATATGAGCATACAAACAAAGAGCAAGAATAGGCCATTCAGCCCCTCAAGTCTGCTCTGCCATTGCATATGAGTTGATCATCACACGGCTTTTCCATGGAGGTGTATACCATGGAATAAATGAATAGGTGATCCCTCGATTAGTGCTAGCAATTCAACTACTAGATGATGAGCTGTCTCATATGGCTAATCTCCTTATTATAACTGGTGTTGGTTCTTGGAGAAGGAAATCCTATTGGATCAGATAGTTGCTGCCTTTAAAAAAAATCCTGGGGAAAGGAGCTTTAATTCCCTTCAGCCTTCCAAGAAAAATAAGACATCCTGTAATAACGCAGAGTAGAAAAATCAATGGTTATCAGTTTTTGAAATAATCCAGATACTAAACACAAGAATCTACACAATGGAAGAATTAAAGGCAAGATATGTGTGAGGTAAGGCACTTGGGAAGAACAAACAAGGTAAGAGATTACACAGTAAATGTTAAGATACAGAGTGGTGTAGAAGAGCACAAAGATCTTGAAATGCTTGTCCACAGATCAATGAAGACAACAGGTCAGGTGGATATAACACAGTGTGGAGTTGGAGGAACACAGCAGGCCAGGCAGCATCAGAGGAGCAGGAAAGCTGAGGTAGATCATAGAATCCCTACAGTGTGGAAACAGGCCCCTCGGCCCAACAAGTCCACACCGACCCTCAAAGCATCCCACCCAGACACATTCCCCTATAACCCACCTATTCTACACATCCCTGGACACTAAGGGCAATTTAGCATAGCCAATCCACCTAGCCTGCACATCTTTGGACTGTGGGAGGAAACTGGAACACCCGGAGGAAACCCACGCAGACACGGGGAGAATGTGCAAACTCCACACAGACTGTCGCCCGAGGGTGGAATCGAACGCAGGTCCCTGGTGCTGTGATGCAGCAGTGCTAACCACTGAGCCACCGTGCAGCTATGTGAGACAATTCCTGTTATTAGCCAAAGCAAAGAATGTAAGACCAGGTTAGTGGCACTGGAACTGTTTAAAACACTAGTTTGACCACAGGTAAAATACTGCTTAGAGTTTTAGTCACCGCATTGAGAAATGTGATTATAGTTAAACAGTATGAACAAAAGATTTACGAGTACGAACTGCTGGAAAAAAAAGCAACCTTACATTGAACTGATGGATGCAAGTCATCAACTGTCAATTGTTTTGTTGTTTTAGAAAAACAAATGCATGAAAAAAGAAAATCTTGGTGTCCTAGAGGCAGGGCACCTCTGATTGTGATGCTTCTTACAGAATATGGAGGTCTGCGGTGATTTAATTCTGAAATATTGGTTATACATGTGTAAATTTTAATTTCTATTTAAAGAGATAAGGAAATAGTTTGTATATTGTTATAAACTGTCTTCAGGTGGTGGGTATCAAATGGGAATTCACTTACACTATGATAAAGAGGAGTATGCTGAAACTGGTTTTTAGTTTAGGATGTGCATGTTTTTAACGTAGACCTCACATAATTAGTGCTTATTGAAGTGGTTATCAGTTGACGGATAAATGTTGGCAATGAAACCCATAGTATTCTCAAGTACACTTCAAGCAGTGCCCTGAGACTTCTTTTTATGTCCACCTGAAAAGACAACAGGGCCTCAGTTTGACTTTTGGCCCAAGAGACTGTATGTCTGCGAATGTATATGTAGGATCAAAGCCATTGGAGATGCACAGGTGGAGCTTGTTCCAAATATCTAGATCATAGTTCATGTGTCTTAAAATATGATTTTTATGAAGTAAAGGTTTAACTGTTGAAAATGAGTATAGGACTCTCTGATTAAGAAACTGATAGTAATTCTGGTAAATTCAATTAAAACAAGCTTGGAGTTTGTTATACTTAAGAGATTGGGGTCGGGTTGAATTAGGACAGCTGGAAAGTTAACATCACAAAATGGCAACAGAAAGAACTGCAGATGCTGTAAATCAGGAACAAAAGCAGAAGTTGCTGGAAAAGCTCAGCAGGTCTGGCAGCATCCGTGAAGGAAAAAATCAGAGTTAACGTTTCGGGTCCAGTGACCCTTCCTCAAAACCCTTCTGCCAGCATCAACAGATGCTGCCAGAACCTGCTGAGCTTTTCCAGCAACTTCTGTTTTTGATTGCAAAATGGCAGATGGGCATTCCTAGCTAAAGTGCTAGGGGATACAATATTTGGAGTGCTTCCAGTAATGGATAATGTATTAATGTGGCTTTGCAGAATTAGGCAAAGCTTGGAATTAAACAACAGTTCATGTCCATATTGACTTGGAAAAAGGCAATGTCTGTCACTTTGTCATAGAGAGGGCTGGAGCTTAATGAGACCCTTTGTTTTGACTTTATTCCTGTAAATGTAGTTCAGGCACAGCCAGCTGGGAAAAAGAGCTAAGCGACCGTGTCAACTTTGGACCTTATACAGCTTTATAGCTCTTTTGACAGTCAAGAGATAAAACTAGACCTCGATCTGAAGTAGAGTAAATGCTAGATCTGTTTCCTATGATGTAGCCTGCTGGTGGAACTGATTATAAGTTCCAGTTGATAAAGGAGAAATAACTGGAAGATTTGTTTACTTGAAAGCTGCAGGAATATATCTACAGTAAGCCTCCCAATGAAAGGTGGTGAAAATTGTTGCAGTGTAGGTGTAATCATCTCGGTTGCACTTTGAAACCATAGCAGTGGGCTATTGGAAACCAAGGGTGTTTTTTGATGTTTTAAGTCATTGATCAGAGGTCACTGGCAGGCCCAGGCTTAAACTGGGGAATCTAGAATATGAAAAAAAAGGAAATTGGAGGGTCACTTGGCCAAAAAACTAATGGAGAACCCCCATGGAATCCTGTACCCTGGTGAATAGTCGAAAAACTGAAGGGAAATCAGTTTGAATTCCAGAGAGCGTTGGTATACTTTTGTGTTGCTCCAGTAAAGGAGAATGAACCTTAAAGATTTTGTATGATAAAGGAACTCTTAGTGAGTAGGAATAGAAACCAGAACTGAACTTCTAATATAAGTCTTTATAAATTATCGTGTTAAGTTCGTATTACTTACTTTATTTAATTTGCCTTGGTATATAAGTTTTTTATTTAAAAGCATTAGATCATATGGCATAGTTCTGGCAGTTAATTGCATGATGTTGGATTTTTCTTCTTTAAATGTTAGTGGCCCCTAACAGGATTGTAAGAAACTTATCAATCTGTAAAGAAGGTGCATGCTTTCTTTATCAAAATAAGCATTAAGAACATCAGATCAGAACTGCAATTTATATATGGTGGGTGGTATAACATTTTAGTGAGTATGCTTTATTTTGGAATTATCAGGGTTAGTACTGTTCTATGCCAAAACCAAAGGCTTCCAGAGGTACAAGTAGCAATTAGGAATGAGAAACTAATTGTCAAAGGTGAGAAGTTAAAGGTAGTTGTTTAAAAGGTTTGGAGAAGCTGCAGGAGGGATTTTCAAATAGCTGAGAGGTAAAGTTGCTCCAGATGATCCCATTTATGTTTTTTAATTTCTGGGTTGTCTTGCAGTTGGTGCTTCGAAGCTTGTCATGGAGACATGTCTTTTGCCATGCTGTGTCTGTAGTCCAGACTTCCTTGATGGACTACATGTATAATGGCACTTTCAGTTTGCAGTATTTCTCTGTTCTAAACTCCCAGTGATGTTCTGTCGTTCCAGCTGAGAATAGAGCTCTGGGAGGCATACTGCCAAGTGCGATCGCTTTGCTCACACCTGAGAGGAAATGACATCACAGACTCTGCACTTTCCACCGACTCCTCTATGGATGAATCCTCTGACACCTCCTCTGCCAAAGATATCCCCACAGGGAGCCTCCACACAGCACTGCATGAGCTCAAACGTCTGATCCAAAACATTCTTGATGGCAATGAGTCTACGGTATGTTAGTTTGTACAAACTCCTGTAGAATTCCACGTATCACAGATGTACACACAAGGAAAACTCCAACAAGGATCTATCATACACTATGAGCTGTAATGAATGCCCTTTGATTCCAAAATTAATTTACTTGGCTCCTTATAATTTAAGGCTCCAACCAAAAATAGCTTTTACTGTAATATTTAACTTTTTATTTAGAAAAGAGCCTATTGATGCCTATTTGAAAGATATTAAAATAATTAGGCAATAAAAACAAAATTTGCCTCAAATTCTCATCATGTCATATAGTATCTATTGAGAGACAATCAGAGTTAACATTTTTGGTCACCGATTTTTCATCAGCACAAATAACATGAATCAGAGAACAAGGACTACACCTGCTGTTGTCTCTCATGGTCTTGACTAAATGATGACAAATGGAGTCAGCCCCTTTGTGACAACTGAATTCTGACAAAGATCATAGACTTGAAATATTAACTGTTTCCCTCTCGGCAGCTGCTATCTGATCCCAGCATTTTCAATTTCTGGTTCAGATTTCCATCGTCCTCGGAATTTTTTGTTGTGTGAATGATTGTCGTCCATGTTGTCCCAAATATCTGCAATGTCATGATGATATTATTCAATAACCTAGTAGATTAGTTTTTGTGTTTATTCAGGAAATGAAATAATTAGAAGAGAGTTCATGATGGTGCAGATTGCCCATAGAGTCTAATGGCAAAACTGTAGTATGCGGAACACGTTGAGAGAGATTTATTATTTCATAACTAGTGTGTGAATCCACACGTGGTTCCGTGGACAAGTGTGACATTTGCAGGACATTCTATAATCTCTGTTGGATAATAGTATATCTATTTTCAATGTACTTGTGCAACCTGTATTAAGACAGTCACACAGGTGTACTTTATTCTGACATGGACTTTAGATGGAAGTGTTCCACTCCTCAACATTAATTCTTTTTACCATCTTAACAACAAGCACATGGGACCATGCCAAATAATAAGGATTACGTATTCTTCCTTCACACTTACGGAAACATTGGAGCTAAGCATTGAATATTGGTTCAAATATCTATTACCAAACAAAATACAAATAAATGTACCAAGTGTCAGTTTTCCAACATATTAATCCCAGGGCAATTTTGTACATCCTGTTGTCCATGTGACTCCCAAATTTCACTCCACATTCTGCTTGGCAGCTGCTCTAGAATTAAAGGTAACAATGGCCAAATTATATATCTAGGGGTCAGTTGAATTTCCAAATCCAACCCATGTGATGTTGTCACTTGACACTTGAGGTTCTCGAAGATCAGGGTAATTAGTGGCCAGGGTGCGTGCTCACAATCTAGTTGAGAATAGCAGACAGTCTCCTGTGACTGGACGGTCAATAGGAGAACTTGTAGAAGTGACATGTTGGCTGGCCCATGGTTAGAGGTGGGAGCTGCAGGTGTGGGGCTGGTATGAGCAGAGAATGAGGGGGTGTCTGCATTTTGAGGAGCCTTCTCAAAAGATTTTTAAAATTTCGATCTTTAAAAGGGGCATGGCTGCCAGACTGGCATCATTCTCAGAGGGGCATCCCTCCCATGGGCAGCCAGCAGCTGAAGCCTTGACGGCAATATCTGTGGGAGAGTTAGAGCACTGCACCAACCTCCAGGAAGTCTGACTCCATCCCTTGGCCATGTTTGGCCTCAGTGTGGGGTCGGGACCAACATGCCACTTGGAAAATTGTCAGCTCCTGCTGAGAGGCCTTTGTCAGCCAGTCGATTGACTGAATAGACTGCCCATCCACCTGAGCTCCTGGAAATAACATGAACCGGAGGAAAGACATTGCCAGTATTCAGCCATGTTGATCAGTGGTGGGAAGTTGTGGGTCATCTACCCTGGGTTCATCCTTATCACATGGTCTCTGCCATCCGTCCCAATCTCTCCAGCATTGGCATGCAGCAGTTTTCCAATGTTTCTGGCAACATAGCAATGTTTAAATCTGTGTGTTGTTATTTGATGTGCTTCTGTGTACATTTTAAACGCAAACAGTGTTAACATTTAGGAGGAGAAAACTCCCATTTTTGGGTATCATGCGTCAGTACAGAAATTCCTCAGTCAGGAGTACCTAAACCTCTCAAAGACCCTTCCTCCTGCACCAGTATGACTTTTCTGTGTTTTTTCCCCCTACTATTCCCTGCAACCATACACCATTTAGAAAGTAATGTTGATTTATGCATCCATTGTAGACTTTTGGATTTTGAACATTAACCCAAGGATTACACTCCATGTTAGGTATACTGAATGATAAACTCTGTGCACTCCCAATGGGCTGGTTTTTATAAGCCATTCATTCTTGCTGATCTTGCATCTTTATAGGTGGTGCTGCTGAGAGGTGAAGTGAATGCAATTAAAGAGGAGAGAGACAAGCTGAAGGTGTCTTCTGAAGAAAAGGAACAAGACAAGCAGCTTCAGAAAGCTCTCAGCGACCGGGATGAGGCCATAGCAAAGTAAGAAGCTTGTCTGATTTAGAGTAAAAGACTGTGAGAAGTTTCTGGCCAAGGTGGGCCCTGGTTACTTTTGTGGTTAAAAAATTACCTCGCCTTCTATCTCACTCCCCTCGGGATTTTGCAGCATCTTCCATGCCAGCCTCTTCCCTTCCCTCCTCTCTGTCCCAAAAGAAGTATTTAAATATTGTAAATTCAAATTACTGTTTTCCCAACTGAGCTAGGTTTGTGGTCTGAATATATCTGTGAGCATATTCAATATATTTAGACAAATGCATATGAAAAACTCAAGTGTGGCACTTTGACATCTTGAATCTTCAGTTCCTTCAGTATTAATTGGATTTATTAAGTATGGAAACCACTGATCTTGCTCTCTAACTCACCTGTCTGAAGCCATTTGTCTGCCTGCAGGCCTAATAATGCAGACTTGAACATCAGCATAGCCCAGGTAAAAGAAGTAAAGGTTTCAGATTAACAAACAATCGCTGTCACAGTTTCAAACAGATCTGGTGATGACCAACAGCCAGGAGAAATAAACTCGACACTATTTGTATGAACTGATCCTTCAAACACATACACCACTCCATCTGCCCCACCCCTGCCACCTAATTCTCAGATCAATAATCAGCCTCTTGACATTCAAAATGTCTTTGACAGAATCCTAGCAGAAAAGATTTAAACTTGAAATGGAAGGTCATGGGATCAGGGTTGTTGTTAATTGGATTATTAATTGACTGGGTAACCAATGAGCTATAAATGGTAGCAACTGACCTCCAGAGACGAATTCCTAAGCCCTGCCCTATTTTATAGTTAGTGGAGCAGGGCTTGAAACATCACCACACAGTGACTGTGTGCAATGCACATCAGGATCTGTGGTTCTTAGCTTTATCCTTACCTGATCTAGCTTACATGTGATTCCAGACCCACACTATGTGGTTGAATTTTAATTACCCTCTGGGTAGTTGGAAATGGATGATAAATGCATCCTAGCCAGCTGTACCG